CCCCAACTCCGTGCACTGATGCATTTTCCCTGGTTCCATACAGAATAGATCAACAGTCCTAAAATCTCAGCCATGTCAACTTTATATATCTATAGTCTTTCACAAATCTGAGCCTGTAAGAATGTTCTCTTAATCCTGCATTGCTCATTGTGGGTATAATATACACTCGCTAAAGAAAACAGAAGGAAATCCAAAAGCCTTCCTGCTAAGCTATCATACAGGCTGCACAGCACAAAGAATGCAATTGTTCTATAGAGCTATTTAAAAGCTTACAGATTATAAACTATATTTTTATCTTAGGGGAAAAAACAATCAACTTTGATGTATTTATATATATGTCTGATCTACATTTTTAATTAGCAATATAACCCAGTTATTTTAAAAGTATATATGAGCATTTAACACTGTTAGAAGGGAGATGCACATTAACTTCACAGTTTGAGCCAAACACATGTATTCAGCTTTAAAAACCCCAGCCATTTTTACTTACACACAGTTAACTCATGCACAGTTAGAATGAGTAATCAAGGTGGTAAGTAAAAAAAAACCCACCACCACCAACTCATCAAGTAATAGATTTTCTGATGCCCGTAATTTTGTCTTCTCCTCTACAGGTTAAGGGGCATCCAGCAGATTTCTTGGTTCCATTAAAAGCTGTTATGCAGACAGAAATATAAAAAGCTTGCTTTGGCAAGACACAAAGCACTAAATTTCAGGATAAACAAAAGACACTCCTTATGGATTACAATAAAAGCAGTGAAAAAACATAAAAGAATTTATCCTATGTTGCTACTATATAAAATATTCACCAAAATAAAGATTTCAGAAGACAAAATATACAGTAGTCTAAATAAAATAGAAATAGATACCTGGAGGATCCATAAAATCAAAGTGCACCAAATCATCTATACCAAGCTTCTTCAGCTGCAATACTACAGATCCTAAGTTAGACCTCAAAATTTCAGGGTATGTGTTGTCCTGGGGCAGGGGGAGGGAAAAAAAAGAAAATTGAGAACACTTGTTCTTCCGAACACTTTAAACTACACAAGCATTGAAATTCTGACTCTGTTTGGTAGCAAGGCACTTGACTACCTATATCAATCAGATATTCTTATATAAGTAATCTAAAAAAAGTAATCTTACCTGCATTTCAGTTTTGTAAGCCTTCTCTGTATAAAGCCTGAAGCACTTGCCCGGTCTAGTACGACCAGCACGGCCAGCTCGCTGCTGAGCAGAAGCTTTACTAATTGCAGTCACCAAGAGAGACTCCACTCTGATACGAGGATTGTATACCTATTTGAAAGTGGAATCAGAGCAGGAAAGAAGGAAAAGAATGAACACTGTTCATGGATAAGACAACTATCTCAAAAAAAAAAAAAAGACTGCTTTAAACTTATTTTCAAACACAGTTTCCGACTAGGAAATCACAAGTTGTATCTGAAAGGAGAAAAAAAAAATTGGCTACAAAAGCCTCTGGATTAGTGACAGAGAGCTTCAAATACAGCTGCCTAGAGACTAGCATTTACTTTTTATTCACTGTTGTTAACAACAACTCCTGCCAGGCTCCCTGTTCTTCGTAAATGTGCGTATTTTTAGATAAGATTTTCATGGCAGAAGGAATGTGTCTGATTTATCCTACAGACTGCTACACTCTTGATGCCCAAATAATTCATGAAAAAAGTTGTCTTGATACAATTATAAGGTTGAATGATCATGTTCTAGGGGGTCAGAAAAATCTAACATTAAGGTTGAATAAACTGTAAAAGTCAGACCGATGAAAAAGCAACACTGTATTTCAAGGGTACATGCAGACTGCCACAGTTCAAAATACATGCTGGAATTTACAGTAAAATTTCCATTGTAGTCATACATAAACAGCATCTTTGCCAACTCAATAGGGCTCATGATAAAGAATATATTGTAAAAAAGAAAAGTAGTAGTCAGTAGTTTCAGCTGAAGATGTTATTTGGTCCATGTTTTAACACCCTCCTGGTGTGAATACATATAGCACACACAAAAAACATCTATTTCTTATTACAGAAGGTACTCTTCCAGTCTAAGAACTACTTGTAAAAAAACCTCAGCCTAAATGGTGATTGAAACTTGTGTATGAAGATGGATTGACCATACATTCTGCTCGCTCTCATTTTGCAAAAGTTTAAAAGGTTGACAATGTCTATGAGTATTAAAGGAAAAGTCTAAGAAATCAAGTTAAAGATAGCCAGAGTTAGTGAAAAAAAAAAACTAAGATATTTGCATTTTAATGTTTCTTTAGTTATTGGGTCGACTGTAGACAAGCTACTTGAGTTCCTCTGAACATCCCATGATGTTCCAAGAAGCACAGTACAAGCTTGGTGACAATCTTCAGGGCCGCAACATTCCACATAAATACCGACAAGAAACAGTTAGTGCTGGAATTTTCTATGCTAACATGACTTAAAAGAAGAGGTGGCTTCTAGCACCATTTTTATTTACTTTCATATGATTTCTTCATTTTACTTGAGCATTCTCAAGCATAGATACACAGTACAAAACTACCCTTTCCTAAACCATCTACAAAATCCATATTCCAGGCCTACCTCTCAAAATGCTCACATTTCAATTTTTTGAAAATAAAATTCTTCTGCACTGCACTGTTTTGGACTGCTCTAGATATCTTAAGTTTGCAGACTAAGTGCAAACCTACCTTAAGTTAAAAACAAAACCAAACCAACGAAGGTCAAGATCTCAATTAGGAAAAGACCTATTGGTGTTTACAAAGGGAAGAGCTACCTGAGCAAACTAGAGTTCAATATCTTTCCTACTATAAAGAAAGAGAAAACAAAATAGTATTTACCTTCTGTTTTGCAAAGCCAGGATCAATCACAAACACAACACCATCTATTGTTAATGATGTCTCAGCAATATTAGTGGACACAACAACCTGTCAAAAAATAAAACAGAAAATGAAATTACTTTGTCCTGGAGATAAGTAGTTCTGATTCTGTCTCTGCATCAAGAATTTTCAGCAAACTTTTCTTTACTTCCTCAATAACTACCAGAGCTGTGCTCCAACACTTTTACAGGATGATCCGAAATCAACCACAAACTTCTACTGAAATCAGAGCAATTTTTGTCCCCTGTTTCTGCTCCCCTATGTCTGTATTAACAATATAGCAGATACTAGTTTTGAGAAAAAGAAACAGAAGAGCAAATATTTTACTTACAAAATCACTACTGAAAATTTCTCTCACATCTCTGGTACAAAATCACAAGTTACACTGGATCCCTTTAACATCATCTGTTAATTCCAGTTTAACTTTTTTTTTTTTTTTAAAAAAGCCTAAACAGGGCAAACTGGTTAAATAATATTAAATCAAAGGTTATATAACTGTACCAGCACAGTATGTTCTTTCATTTTGTCTGGAATAAAGCAGTTATCAATACATTCCAGCTAAAATCCTGAACAACATATTTAATTTCAACTTTGTCTTTTTAAATTACCAGATATTCAAACACCTTTACATATTTTTAAGGTTACATTCTTAAATTTCTATAAAGTTTCTGAAGGTTAAGTCTCAAGCAAGAATTAAAGCAAAGGTGATATCCAAGTTCTGAGGCTCGATTTGCCATCATTTAAATTTTATGTTCAGAGATGCGGTGTAACAGTCTATAGGTATCATTAGCTCTCATCCTAACAGTGACCACATTAAATCACATATTATTAGCACGTTTAATCAGCTACCTCAGAAGAGACCCCAAAACCCATTCAGCACTTCATCAAAACTACTCACCTTTCACCTCTTAATTTCAGAGCACTCTGTCATCATTTTCAGTTTAGCAATTAGAATCTGAGACCCCTAACAATTTGTTCAGAATTACAATGAAGCCAGTGGCTGCACTAGATTGATAATCCTGCTGATTTCTCTTCCTCCTAGCTGATCACTTTGCCAGTCAGCTACTTATTACTCTCAGCTTCTCTCTTCTTAAGTAGACTTAAGGTCTAAGCTTGCCCAAATACTACTGTGTATTGAATGCAATACTTTGGTGGAAAAAAGTTTTAAATTCATTTGGAATTATGGTGTTCCACCCAGAAACGATGTGCTACTTAGAATTCTGCTCAAACAAAACAAAAAATCCCGTACACTTTTCATTCACAGGTAATCTGCACAGATTAGTCAGAGAAAAGCCATAAACATCAATGCAATTAAGTGCTGACACAAGCACAATACATTGTCATTAAAAATTTGCAAGTCATTAAGTATGCAAATTAAACTAGCACTCCCATGTTAAAAGGCCAGTCAATCCACATTCAGCTTGCTATTACAAAGTGTACCTTAGCTACAAAGGCTCACCTTTTTCCAGATCTACTAATATATAGAAGGGTCCATACTCAGAATCTTCAAATACCATTACAGAGCAGCATCAAACAGTTTTGGTCCCGCTTTTAAATCACCAATTTCTATTAGGACACTTCAATACGAATAACTCAATAGTGTTAGTATGCTTAGTCCACAAAGGTCCAGCAATTTAACTTGTACTTGAATTGTACAGAACTTCCCAAAGGTAGAAAGAAAAACCAGTTATTTACACAGTGCATTCTGTTGTATGTACAGATTTCATTTGTTAATGTCACATTGCTTAAAAACCATAATTAATGAATGTAAAAACACAAGAAATTTAAGGAAAAAAGTTGAGGAAAATTACAGCACATCTTTCAAGCCTAAATCAAAATACAAAGTTACTCAGAAATTAAATAAATGAAATTAGCACTAAACTACATAAAATAATTGTATCTAATTAGGTTTAACTGCAGTTTTGCAATCACTAAATGGTTACATTAAAAATGTTTTAAAATACCAAATTAACAGTCTGATATACCAAAAAGTTTTAGAGATTAATTTAAACAAGTTACCCTGGATAATAAAATAAACATAGCATCTATATATAAAAATATACGTATATTGCATATGTATTAACTAGTAATGCTTAAGACTCCTGAAACAGAAAATAGAATGCAGTTTGCAAAGAAGGGATAAGATAGGAAAGGGGAATAGAAACGCTCCTTGTTAAGTTGTCTTCATCTTCCTCCACAGTATGTTGAGTATTTAATTTACTGTAACTAGTAAAGCATTTTCTCTTTAATCTTTTCTTGCAATAATAGATGTGCTAGGCACGGTCAGCTAAGAGGACCAAAAAAGTGCAGTTATCAAGCTATATCAGTACTAGCAGTTACCATCACTACTCCTGCAAGATGCCAAAGAACTTCCACTGTATTACTTTTCTTTCACAAAGTCAAAGCTCAGGAGATACTTGCTCAGATAGTGCAAGCCCTTCACTTAGTTTTTACGACCATGAGTCTGAAATGATATCAGACCTCCTGCTAGCTCACTCTCCTCAGCAGTTCTAAAAACTAGGTTCAACTCCCACAGGAGATTGTGTGAAAGCAGACATTTTGTAAGATAGCGTAGGCAGAGCAAACACATAGTCCTACTTTACATAGCTTGATGACTAAGACTAACTGAAACTAAAACGTTTAAACAAGTTTACAACACACAGACAAACTTTCTCTCGTTGCTAGATTTGTTATGAAGATAACCAAAACACAAAAGTCAGAACATTTCAGTCAAAGCAGGTAAAGAGGAAAAGTGGTCCAAAAAAAAGAAACAAAACAAAACACACACCAACAAAAAATCCCACCCCACATAATGGTCTGAATCTGTTGCTTATGTATTTTGTGCCTGCTTTTGCCTGTAGGTACCCATTTGTACGTGTTTTTGTCGGTATCTTTCCAGCATGGCAATTTTTCTTGTAGTACAATAGTTGCTACACTGAGCGTGTTTTCCTTAAGACACTGGTACTGGCTTTGTCAGTCCAACATAATGAAAGCTACACACTGCATCTGTTATCCTCTTAACAAGAAAACCAGAAACCGCCTATGTTGAAGTGCACAGTTTTAAACACGAATGAAAAGTTAATGAGGTACACAGCTATCACTTCTTCATCACTGAAAAACAGTATCATTCAAGTCATTTGCTAATACAATGTTGTCGCAGCATTAATTTAATTATTTCAGAGTGAATGCTTTCTGCAATCAACTTCAATAGGAAAAAGAGGATCATTTCACTAAATTTATCAAATGATTTATTCTTCCAGAACACTAGAAAGTTGTCACCGGTATTCTACATGCATTGTACTGCACAAAAAAGCAAATACCCAAGGAACAAACCCTGCCTAAAGCAGACAGTATGATTCAGCTTTGACCTTCAAAATCTTAACTTTGTCATCACTACAGTTTCATATAGCATTAGTTTAACTTGAGGAAGCTCTATAACGACTCTCCAAATGTTCAGTGTTAAAGAAATAACCACATAGTTTCTAACATGGTTTATGTGAGCATTCACGAATTGAACTATTAATTTTATGACGAACATTCACTACTGCCATTTCAAGTTTTTCAGTTTCTCAGTCTATTTTGCCCAATGAAAGAACCTCAATTCTTTGCTTACTACCACAAGAAACACACACTTCCAACTTCAACATACTTGTTTTAACTTACACCTTCCCATAAACATTGAGAAACAAACATAACCTGCCTGATAACATTCCTTGAAGAGACAGTCCATCTCTTCCAAAAAAAGCATCTCTCAGTATAATTATGTAGGGAAGAAAAATCCCATCCTTCCACGGAAGTCCTGTGGTTGTCAAATTTAACTGACATATCATATTTCTCATAAGAAACTTAAAAGCATCAAATTGTTACTAGAACATTCTGTCCTTATAGACGGAAGCCAGAATTTGGAATTGCACTGAGAAACAAACTCCAAGTTATCTAAAAATTTTAACATGATAAAATATTGGATCATTAAGGTTTCATCAAGAAAACCTTCTACTTGTTGCTGTCCAAATATACTTAAAACAGCTAAAACTCATATTTAATTGCCCACACAACTGCAAGTAGCTAGTTAATGAAGAGTGTACTAAAACAGCATACTATTTACCTTTCTTCCTATTGCTCCGTTTTGTTTTTTTGGTGGGGGAGGTTCAAAAATCCTTTGCTGTTGCTGTGGAGGAAGGGTGGAATATAATGGAATGATTTTGATGTCACCAACTTCAGGGCCTAAATCATCAATTTCACGTTTTATCCTCTTGCAGGCTTCATCAATCTCCTGCAAAATAAAAATACTGGTTAAAAGAGAACTCCATGAAAGAGGCAGCACGTTGTATTTTAGAGTACCTTATGGCAATTATATTAAGTCTATATCCTGAAGAACAATTGCGATAACGTCTACTTTAAATAATAAAAACAATTCAAAAAAAGTGCTTGCTGAATTCGCAAGCGAATTTCCACAATACTTCAAGATGCTTCAGCTTCTATACTCTAATGAACAGCCTAATTTACATTCAACATCTTTTTTCTTTTAGTCATGTTTCCTAATTAATTCTCTACAAATTGTGGTAAAATTGAAATCTCTCACCCTGGAATATTAAGCTGCACTCATGATCTTTCCAATTTTCACAATCTAAAAGAAACTGATGTGCAAGATATTTAAAATAAGCCAATTAAGCTTTAATGTCACATATCACTAATGCAATTATATGGAAGATTTGCTTCATTGTACCTAATGAGAACAAACACCTTTACAGTATAAACATGGATGCTCAAAACCAAACCTCTCAATCCAGTATTTCAGATTTTATTTTAAAACTACCTGAAATCCCATTTAAACTTAAGAAGAGCCAGAGAAATACTCTGAAGATGAGAAAGATTTTTCATGTCTTTTTTACCTTAGCATTTTCTACAGTATTTGCTAGCCTATTTTCTGACTAGCTTACCATAAAGTTCACCACAGCCCAATCATTTATAATTCCATTTCATTTTAAAACAACTGCATTTAAGTCAGCTAGGTGACCTATAATTATGACAAGATTTAATGAAAATTAAAGTGCACAGAAATTTAGGTTAATGAATAACACAATTCATTAACTTCAACTTAAAAAATTACAACAGAGCCTCCACTGGTATAACTAAGAGACACGCTACCAACTATTGATATTTCAGCTGAACCACTGATGGGAGAATGAAGTCATCATGGCAAGAAGCAACAGTAGGTAAAAGTAAAAAATGGCTACAACATACTCTAAGAAAAGAGGCCAGACCTTCCTTATCACAAATAATTCACCAGTCTGAAGCTGAAGTGATGCCTAAGACCCTCAAGTAAATATACAGAACAGGTTAATCCAAAGGGTCTGTAAAATTACTGCTTTAAACTGTAATTAGAAAAGCAGAAGCAGACTCCTTTTTAGAAACCATAAATTCAGACAGATCCTGGAACAAATCTGCATCTTTTTCATTCATTCCTAAAGAGTCTTGGAAGTTTTCAGCACAATTCTGTTGAGTATGTTTTAAAGTAGCACAGACAATACAATACTCATATTCTGTATTGATCAGCATATATAATTAATGTACGCATGGCAAAATGAAGGCTCTTCCTCTTCGATGTCAAAGAGCCCTATAACAGTAAGCCTAATGCTTTCCAGCATTATCTTGCCAATTTGAATGAACTGCAGGTATTTACAAAAAACCCTTTTAAACAAAGGTGCGCTTTGCCAACAAACCCAACACACCCATCATAAAATAAGAGGCATATAAGAAACTGAGCTGGAATGCCCCCTACTGGTTTATTAACAGAGAATTAATTTCTTTACACAGATGTCATTATCTGGTGTTCTACTGATAAACTCCTTTTTTAAGTTCAGTAATAGCCTTCCAGTGAAAAGGAAAAACCTAATTTAGTTGTCAGATCATACACAATAGCTCAGTAAATTAATACTTTAATGATGGTGCTTACGTGAAAAGACAACATGTTAAAAGTAAATAGTTGACTAACTAGGTAGTGACACCCCCTCTCAAATTTGCACCCATTCAAAGTCTTGACAAGCTGATACTTGGGCCTGTTAAATATTTAATACAAAATTAGATTGTATCTTTCAGAAAAAAAAAAATACAGCACAGACCTTAATTCCTGAACTGAAGGTCACTACACTGTTTGACAGAATTTGAGCAGATTACAATGTGTAACTGGGAAAACTGTGATGCTGGACAGGAGGCTTAATCTTCAACAGTAATGACTAGAGACTCCAGGACAGTTTCATACTTAAGAGATAGTAAAACACAGGCAAATAGCGATAAACAAAAGCACTACACTCTTCAGGCCACATGTGTTCACAGTCACCTATCATCTTTCAGAAGAGGTAAAAGTGTTGTTTCTCCCTAGAGTTTCCTAATGTAGTTTCAAAGTATCCCTAATTAGGACTCATTAAAATACTTCAACATAGAGATGACAAGTGCATATATAAGCATTACTCTCCGCAGATTCGCAGAGGTAACTATGGACCTCTCATCATAAACTGTTGGAAGAAGGATACAAGTCACCAAGAGTCACTGCCACTCATGTAAAGACAGTAAAAGAATTCTTTAGTACTGAATTGTTTTAATTAATTAAAAAGAAAGAGAGAAAAAGGGTGGTTTCCTTTCTTTTACCACAAGCAAAAAAAAGGGTCTCTCTACTTCAACTGTATCCACAACCACCGTCCAATTCCAGTAGATGACTAAAAGTGGTATCCCAAAGAACAAAATCTAGAAGGAGTATGTGTAGCAAGAATAGTTTTAAAGTATTAAGAATTCATTTAAGTGTTAAAGATTCATTTGTATCACATGAAAACATTTAAGTCTGGAGATACATGAGATACAGTTGAAGGCACGATACTAACTTTAATCTTTTGAAGATTCAGCAAGTCAGTAGTTCTTACTCATTTATGAAAGGCTTATTTGAAAAACCACACACATTTAAATACTTGCACACCATCTACTCCAAATCCATTACAAAACCCCTTGAAGAGGGATTATTCCATCAATCCACACGTAAGAGATTTTTCCTCTTGGAAGGAAAAGAAGGAAGGTAGAGCGAACTGGCCTTGCATTTAGGTTATGGCTGAAAAACTCAGAGCCCTGACTGTCACGCTGACTACCTGAGAGAGCAGATACCAGGGTACTGGAAGTAGGAACAGACATAGGAAGATCAAAGGAGTCACAGTTAGACCCATGACTGCCCAGTGCATCAGCACAAAGACCTGCTTCAGAATTAATCAAAGAAGAAAGAAAGTAGGCCTAACACATAAAAAGTGTAAGGCTTTGGCAATACTTGAAGCATTGCCTAAGTAACCAGACTGAACTTGATCCTAGTTCCTCACAAAACTGAAGACTTCTTAGGAGTATTGTTCTGAGAAACAATCCTTGGTAAAATTGTAGTCAATGAAATTGTCCATCGGTGCACTCATTTTAAAACGAGCTGACTACTGAAAGGTAAATAGCAAACAGACCACAAAAAAGGGAAAGGTTACATGCTAAGATGCTCATTTATCTCAGGTTGCAAGTGCCACATAGACTCAACACATCTATGCTTCACAACATCTAGTTATCAGAATTGTCCCAGACAGTCTATATGTACTTTAAAGTTTCCAAAACCTTCTTGCTTGATCCAGTCAAGATGAATTAACAATATACATATAATATATATAGTTCAGCTGCAACACTATAGAAACTAGAATCAAGTAGCAATTAAAGAGTGAGGAACTCTGTAGTACACTTTGAATATTAACATGGAGTCCTCAACATTCTTCCACACCCTCAACAGCATAAGCAATTCTCCTTGAAATCAGCAAACAGAAAGCACTTCTTTTTATGCATGTATTAGTGATCAAGGAGGTAATGGGGTGGTGAATATTTTTCAACCACGAAAACCAAAGTAATCTAAACACCCAAGTGAGAGTCAACAATTTGTATTTTGTACCTACAGCTAAATAGTTTACAAGAGGAAAAAAAACAGTAACCAGGAAAATAATTATTAATAATAAATCAAATTTAAGCCAATTTAAACGGTATTTCTTCCAAGAAATTAAGGCTGGTTCTACACGCAGTCCTGAGCAGGCTGCTTGTTTTCAAACAAATGGTAGACAATAGGCAATATTCACAATATCTGTTCAATTAGGTGGATTTCATTCAGGAGCTTAAGTATGAGAAAGCAATTCTGAGACACCACAAAGTTTCAGGATTTTAACCAGAACTTCCATTGTGCCACAAATTTCAGCAAGACCTAAGTTTGTATGGGAAGCAATGTTTAGCAGTGGCTTGTTCAGAAAAAGCAAGAATGGGGTGCTCAGTTTCTTCTGATTTATTAGAAACAGTAGTGCAGCCATCTCTATTTTCACATAACAGTAAGTAGGTTACTTGAATTTGCCTCCTGAATCTGACAGGATTTTTACTCCATCTTAACCCACTTTTCCAAAGAAAACGCAGGCTGATGACTAGTGCCTAAAAAAAACCAAAAAAAACCAACACACCAACAAACCCTTGGATGCAGTAATTTTTATTCCTCTCACTGAAGCTGCGTTTCTGTGCAGCTAGAAATGCAGAGATCCACCAGATCAGAGAGGAAACTCTAAGTTTGAAGCTTGGGGACAAAAGGAGTTCTGAACTCTCAGAACGCCAGGATTGCTGCATATTCCATTTTAGTATCCTCTGGATGGGGACAGCAACACCTACTATTCATATCAAGCTCTCAAGAAATTAAAAGCACAGTGCTTTATCTTCCCCTTTCTCATGGCAGATCAATACATCTACAAGTATACACCACCACCAAATAACTGGTTATATTAAACAATTCAAGCTGACAGGGCAGAACTTTTGCTCCAGCTCCAGTGAAACAGTGAGAAAACTTCCTCTAAGCATGTATAACTACACATACAAGTAGTCAAAAGCCAAAACAGCAGTCCCAAGTAACACACACTCACTCATGAACAGCATTAAATACTATAGTAACAGCACACAAAATTTTCAAAGTGTGTGCACAGGATTACACATCTTACAATACCAGTGAAGAAAACAAAAGGGCTTTTTTAGGTGCTTTTCAGGCATAAAGGAGGTGTATTTAATGCTTCAGGTTGTGGTCAAAATCAAGTACTCCAAAGCATTCTTTTAACCATTCAGCGAGATAAACATTTGATGTCACCTGGAGATATTTCACAGCTAGAACTGCTGGACTGTAATTGTGGAAACAGACCTAGATGCATTTACTCTTCGTACAATGAGTATTGAATGCTCCTCTCT